AAAATAATGTGATTGTCAGAAGTTCAATCTAGAACATCAGGCAATCAATTCCATTACCTCTTCCACGACATTTTCAAATAACCGAATTAAGATTGTGACAGAACAAACAAACATTTCAAACTTTTTAACAAAGTTCAAATAGATCCCAAAAAAAAGCAATTAGTTCCAGTTTAAATGAAGGTTAACAAAATCCACATTACCTATGCAAATGTATGTATAAAACGATTAGAAAATAATTAGGATCCTTTTGTGTAGCCATTATCTCAACATAATCATCCATAAATATACATATTTTTGCATTATTTACCCGTTTGAATAATCTTTATATACCACAAGTACTATTATGAATCTAATAAACATTATGGACACTTACTGAACTTGATCTTGCATGGTAGGAGTGTTGGTCACTTTATAAAACACAAACTTGTATAACCCAACCTGGCAAGGTTATTGTCAGTCTGGGAGAGAATTGTGTATTCAAATGTGTCGTTTCTCATTCAGTAAGCACACTTTTTATTTTTCCGGTACCGATTAATAATTCGTTTATACAAAACAACACGTTATTGCCTCCCGAAAGACTGAAACAAACTGATCTGTAAACTTGTGAACCGCCGCCACATTGCTACAGATACCTTCATACGTTTACACGCATAGATACTGATCTTATTACTTACACACATAAGTATTAAACAGCTAACTCAGTTTTTTCATGCTCGAAGCAATATGAGCGAATTTTTAAGGCTAAAAAAAGATGAACATTCACCAAATAAGATGATGAGATAAACAGATGTTTCTTTTTATTTAGCAGGTAAAAACGGGTACTGTTAATAAACACGAAGCATCTTCAGTCCGTCAGAATTAACTACATAATAACACATTGGAATTACTTCAAATGAGAAACGGCTACTCTCTTCTGAAGAGATATTAAATAACTACGTAGTAATACTAAAGATGAATAAATATCAATGTTTTCTACTCTCTGTTGACTTCATTCTGAAATATTTGTAATCAAATAATACGAAATTAAAACCGAAAATTACCAAAATATTGAACTTGTTGTAAAATAAATGCGACATCCTTTTTGTAGTCTCGCAGCCTACTAGAAACCTCACAGTTTCAGTCTGTCTGCCTTATACAGGTAAGGAAAAATGTTCATCGAACATAGAACTTGCACACTTCCTTATTGGCATTATTTCTTCAACCACATCTAGCTGAAAATATCCCTTAAGCACAACACCCTCGAAATGCTTCAAACTGCGTTAACAGACTTGATTGCTTTATTGTTTACATAAAAAGATGTCTGAAGGGATTTTTCAATAGATGATGGTGCCCTTTGGTCATTGTTTATAATAGATTATTCTTATGATCACTCTTCAATTCATCACTGGCGTATATTTAAATAAAATTTGGTGCATGAACGTTTTTGAAGATCGAAATAATAAAAGTAAAAAATTTTTGGAAAAATACTTCTTCAAATCCCCTACCTTAGAGTACAACGTGTACTCAAGTTTCATTGTCACCTTTACCCCATTTAGTTATAACTCCTTGCCTAACAACACTGCGGGGTTTAAAATAACATTGACGCAAACAGTGAGTCTTCCTCTGGTACTGGTAGAAGTTTGAAGTCGGTGAATCGTTTCGTTTACGTTTTATCCATGTTACTCCTAAGATTTTTAGTAGTTTTGCAATAATGAATGACTTAAATAACAAATAACTACAATTTTTACAATGAAATCGAACGAAAAACCTTCTGAAATCCTCCGCGTCTATATAGAAACGGGTATTTGTTTAAAACTATAATGCATCAGTAGAGGGTAGAAGTAGGGGGAGAGAGGCCAACGAAAGCATGAATGCCCAAGTCCAAGATGAAGGAGATGGAGATTGTTGTGTTCGATATTCAGAGTATTATCCGCTGTGAGTACGTTCCTTCCTGTCAGTTTTATATTGACCCGCATTTTCCGCAAACAAACCGCACTCATAGAGAAGGCATTTTTTATTGATTATCCGCGGAAATATGGCCAAAAGCATATCCTGGCGTTGCTGCATCTACTACAGCCTATGCGAATTTTTGCTTTTCCCATAAATAAAATCCGACCTCAAGATTACTCATCTTGACTAATGATGAACAAAGCAAAACCAAGAGCAAAACTGTCCCAGTCTTAGTCTTACTTATTCGGTTTTGGTCTTGCGTGTTGAGTCTTGACCTTGTTCATTTAATCCAGAGCCGGACTGAAGATTTTGGCCCGGGGTGTGATGTAATCAAATGGCCTAGTTTAGAAGGGAAAGTGCACAAATTTTAACATCACTCGTTTTTAAATAAATTTAAGAAGTGAGGATGAAATTTGCGTTTGTCTTTGCCCCGATCTTTGCTCTTATTTTAATAATTTTTAACGTTTCTTTATAAATGTTATTTTTATAGTTTGTTTTCCTTTTATAACAAAATTTGAAAACTTAAAAAAAATATTAAGTTTTTTAATTTCTCTTTTTTTCACATTTTTTGAGTCATTTGGCCCGGTTTGGCCCGGAGTGCATTTGCACCCCTGCACCCTGGACCAGTCCGGCCCTAATTTAATCTGATACGTTTCTTTAAATAATTTTTCTAAGCACAAAAATTTTTCTATTTACTGACACAATAACCGTCTTTAATGCCGAAATTTTCTGTTATATCCGAGCTTGTCATGACTTTTAATGAAAGTAGTGTCTATAGTTGTGAGTAAACCTTTTAGCAAACAAAATAGTAGGTACAAGGCACTTGAAAGCAAAAAATATCGAAAAAAAAATCGTTTGTCTCTACATTTCAGCCAAGTGTTATCCAAATATAGGAACAAAGCTAACCTATTCTGGGGACATTCTTGTAGATCCCCTTCTTTCAAACAGTGGTAAAGATTCTTTTTTTTATATTTAGTGTTACAATCTAGTAGAGCAAACTGAAAAATTACAAGTACTAAAAATAGTTTGTTCCAAGAGAAGAAAATATATATTAATGTTGTTTCAAATAGATTAACTCATAAATCCACTGGAAGAAATAATTTTTCGTTTAGTTTTACGTATTTGGTTTTGATCTTCCATATTCGATTTTGGTTTTAGTCTTGGTCCTATTCGTTCGATTTTGGTGTTGGTATTGTCAATATAAATACAATATTGGTCTTGCTTTTTCGCTAGACCAAGACCCAGACTGCAAGGCCAAGGCCACGAATTTTGCTCGTCACTAATCTTGGTGGCGCAGAAGTGTAACAACAGTTCTGAGTTCCATAATTTCGAAAGGCTAGGCAAGGTGAAGAGACGATGAAAACAATGTATAGGCTTAAAATGTAACTATTTAACTATTGTGAAGGCCGATAATAAAGCATTGAGCAAAATTAATTCACTTGCGTTATAAACGTATACAAATTCCTGGAATTTAACAACTTAAGTGGGTCGAATTTCGATCACACGCGAAACTATTTTTTATTCTGCAGCATTGCGAACATAAATGATTCTCGTCGGCAAGACGTTACTAATACTAATCATTGCGCATCCAATAGCGTGGAAATTTAGGGGAGCCTGCATCCTATACATATGTAGATATAATAAGCAATCTATAGCTAAAACAGGTACAGGTAAAGCGGTACTGACAGATCAGTACTGTATGAAAATAAATAAAATAAAAACTAAAATACTGGTATGCAAGGGAAGAAAAAGTAGGGATAGAGCGAATATAAAGATTGGATACCAAAAATTAGAAGAAGTGACTGATTTTAGATATCTAGGAAGTCCGATAAGTCAGGACGGAAGAAGTAGTAGGGATATAAAGCAGAGGATAGCACAGGGTCGTATCGCCTTTAATAAAAAGAAGTCACTTCTATGCTCGGGAACGGTTAATTTAGAAATTCGAAAAAGGTTTGTGGCGATATCCACCACATGTTTTAAAATTGTTTTCATTATGTGTACATATTGTAAATACCTTTCTAAAATATTTCTTTTCTATTTTCGATTAGTGTCTATAAAAATTCCTTCCTTTTGTAAATAATCTATTGTATCTTTCTTATCTATTAAAATAACTCTATTATTGTACTTTCCTACAATCCCTGTAACATTTCATCTTTCGTGTACTAACCGCATGACGTCTGTACCTTTCATTCCTTCCTAATTACATTTTTACGATCGGTTTCTTCGGTGGTTGACCGGCCATCAATTTCTTGGTATTTCTAATCTTAAAGTTTCCATATTTTAATGCTTCCCTACTCGTATCTACTACCCTCTCTATTCCTTCCTTGTAGAGCAGTTTTTCATTTTTCATAAAATACCAAAGGAGTTCGTCTTACGCCTTCAGCAGAACATGTCTCTTCTCTTCTCCTTTTGTTACGCCAGTTGTTGTTAAGTGTAAATATATGTTGTTGTTATCTAGTTTTAATTATTCGTTTTCTAAGTCCTCGTCAAAACCTTCTATAACAATGTGACCCAAACAAACTTACAAAAGGTTGTTAAAGGTGTATGTTTGGAGCACGGCGTTGTACGGGAGCGAAACATTGACAGTGAGCGCGGCGGAAAAGAAAAGGTTAGAAGCCTTCGAAATGTGGTTTTATAGGCGGATGATGAGGATAACGTGGGTAGAAAAGGTTAGAAATGAAGAGGTATTAGAAAGAATAGGAGAACAGAGAGACACTATGGAAGTCAATAAAAAATAGGCGAGATAGGTTGGTAGGACACCTTCTCAGGCATAAAGGGCTAGTCAGAGAGGCAGAAACAGGAGTTAGGAGGGGTAGAGGTAGACCTAGATTAGATTACTGTTCGCAAATAGTTAAGGATGTGGGTTGTTCTAGTATTAGGGAAATGCGAAGTTTAGCTCAGGATAGGAAAGAGTGGAGGTACGTGTCCAACCAGTCTTAGGACTGACGACCTTTTGACGATGACCTAAAACACAGTTCTTTAACAGTAGATCGTTTTTTTAAGGTAAATTAAACAATATTATTCAGAAATAACTTGATGTAGACTGTATATTGCATTTAAATACACTAATAATAAGTAACTTGTTAACAATGCAATATTTAAGATTAAAAATGTTCCAACTTAATGTGTATAAAAATACATGTACAGCTATTTAATTGATTAAAATGGTGAAGAACAAATTGTACGTTTTATTATTTAATTAATCTACTATTTGACTTTCTTTCCGCTGATTTATTTTGGCACGAATATTGAGAAAGAAATTACGTAAAGTACGTTTCATCTTGTTTTTGTTACACATTACAGTCAGTCAAAGTAAATATTAAGTGTTCCTGATTCCCTACAAAAGCTCTTCGTTTTCATTTAAAACATACAAACAAGTCGCATTCGAATAATTGTCTACAGTAGTGTACAGACTGTCATGGGACAACATCTAAAATTTTTATAGACAGGTTGGGGTGGAACTAAATGTAAATCTTCTTCTTCTTCGTCTCCGGATATACTCATCTCTTCGATACTGAACGTATCCGTCAACTCCTCCTTCCTTGATTCCTTACGGGATAATGGAAAGAAATTGACTATATCTTCTTCACTGAAAGAAGTTAACAGAAGAATTCATTAGTTATATATATAAAACATATTTGTATTGAAATACTAAAAATATTTTTAGTTAAATATACATACACTATAACGTACCAAATTAATTCAAATGTAATCGCTGTTACGTAATACTATTGTAATTGTAAAAAAAGTATTACAAAAAATCACCATGTAATTAGTATATTTTCCAGTAAATCATCATTTGAAAGAACACCCAAAAAGTTTTAACTTGTTAGGAACCACATTTCATAACAACTACAAAAAAGTATAGGGAGAGTATCGCCGTCTATTAATACAGTGTAAACTCTTTATAACGTCACTCGATTTAACGACAAACTCCTTAAAACGTCGAAATTGCTTGACTTTGGTTGGTTTACAGTGTTTTCTATACAATATTACACTCTATATAGCGTCACGCTCACTCTATTTAACGACAACAATGCGGCATTATAAATCATTGAGCAGTACTTTCTAAGTTGCCGAAATAGATAAGAACTGCAGCTGTGTACGTTGTTGAAGAAGACGATCCTGTCCCTCCACCAAGCATCAAACAAGCACTTGATGCAGCGAAACTATTAAAAAAATACTTTTTATATAATCAAATTGATCCAGCAGTATCTCAAGATATGAGTAAGATACGTAACAAAATACAATTAAAATATTGGAGCAGCAAAAAACATCAGACGAAGATAACAGGCTATACGCAATGTATGAATAATAATGTTCGTGTGCAAAATGTGTACTATATTGGTAAATGCATATTATTATAGAATAGTAAAATAATATCTTTTATTTCTCTCCATTTAACGACCACTCTTTATAACGCCGAAAAATGTTCAGTCCCTTAAGTGTCGTTATATAGAGTTTACACTGTATTTACTATGTAAAATTTAAAACATTTTAATGTTTGGTTCAATTTAATTTAAATTTATTAACTGCAAATGTCTTTGGTCAATAATAAGTAATTTAGCGAAACCATCAGACATGGATCGCGGTTTTGAACTTATTAGTTCCCATCACCACGCCATAAACAAATCGATACATTATTACCGACCTTCATAAAACCCTCATCAAACATTTTGAAATACTACAGTAGCAATACAAGGATCAGTAAACGGCGACATAAAGCCTTGATATTATTTATTTGTTGATTTATTTATTTATTAATCAATCCACTTTTACGGAACAGCTTCGATTCGATCAGTGGTTTACCGGGCGTGCTGATAAGAACTAATTCGAAAGCACGATCCACGCCTGGTTGTTTGAATAAATTATAGATCAAAAACTTGATACTTTTTAACTTCACCGGGGCTTAAAAGAGTAATTTTCATGCATTTCTGATTTTCAAAAGTTCAGAACTTAACGAAATAATGTCGAGCATTCACCAAAGAACAAATATGTATGGAATTTGGCTCAACAAAAAGCATTTTTAACTTTTAAAACAACTGGTATTTATCATAGTAATCAGTGGACAACTTTACGAACAAAACTTCAATATTGCTGCTACCTCTGCCATTTGACATTTATGCTTTTGGCCTTTTTTTAACCTGTTAACTTTATACTATCTTTTTAACCAGCCAAGGAAACTTCTTTTAATAGCAAACGTCATAGTACGGTTTGAAACATTTGAATTTTTTCGAAAAACTGGACTTTATTCAGCTGTACTTAATGAAAGTCTTTTTGACGAACGACGTGATAATCTCATACAATAATCTATTTTTTTCAATTAACGAACGACACAAACAAATTATATTTACACGTTTGAAACATATTTTTTATATTTTAGTCATAATTGTATATTTCTTTATTTGTAGGTATATGTTGTATTTGTATATTTGGTTATTTGTTTATTTGTAGGTATATTTGTTCATTTGTATATTTATTTCTTTGCTTATTTGTAGGTATTTTTGGTCATTTGCACATTTGTTTCTTGGGTTATTTGTATCAACTGTATCAGTTCAATAATATCATTTGTAATTTCAAGAATCGGCCTTCAGCAACATTTCCAAATTATGTTCAATTCTTGCTCTATTGTTGTGCAGGTACTTAAGAAACGTATACAATGTATTGTCTGTCCCGAAATCAGTACCATTCGGTATTTCCAGGGTTGGTAAGGTCACCACCCTAACAATAGCTGTACAGCTTGAACCCGTTTCAGCTGGCTCATTTTTGTAGTAGGGATGACGATTTATATATTAAAAATTTTAGTAAATCCAGAGCATATTATAAAAATCATATAGTATACCATTCACACGAATAGCATATTATCATAATCATATATAGTATATCAATCAAACGAAAAGCATATTATCATAATCATTCAGATAGAATATCAGCAATCGACATATAGAACATAATAATCAATAGATCATTAATCAACATAATCGATATCATCATAGAACATTATCAATCGACACAAATCAAACAATCAATATTTTACAAGTTATCCGTAACCCTATAGTGTGCACTTGTAGCAAGTTAAATATAGTTATTTTTATTTTTGTGTGTGTTTTTTTACCATCGAGTGCACTGGTCCTTCGAGAAGTTTTTCTATGTGGTACAGCAGTACACCGACGATTGTAATATTTTTTTTACATCGTCACATCACGCAACAAATTAGACGTTATACAAAGGTTCAAACCTGTCATCAGAATCCCATTGAACCAATGGCCTGTGATCCCTCGTTCCCGGAATTGATAATCTTTGAATAGGTAATAATCCGGGTGCAGCATTATTAAACTCGTGGTGCAACCTTCGGGCGTGTTCTATCCTGGACTCCAATTTTCTCTGAAGCTGACGAGTGGTGGGCGGCTGATAATTTCTTGGAGGAGATCGACCATCGCTTCCTGCGCTCGAACTATCACTGTTCTGTAAATTTAACTGATTGCAATTTTCTGAATCATTCGCTTCCATATTAAACATCTATCCAACTTTAAATTACAATTACCTGGATGTTCTATTTAATTTTGAACTAGCTTTACCAAAAATGAGGTAAAATTTACTTTTCGTGTTTTTAAAGTGTACAGTACTGTCAAAAAATTTTGTCTGTACACTTAGACTCTGGTGATATAATGAATAAATAATTATGAAGGAGTATAAAAACCTATTTACAGTATTCAATATAAACCAGGGGTGTACCTAGGCAGGAGCGTGGAGGGTTGTGACAGCCCCCCCCAAATTTTGATGTCAATCAGCCAATACCAGAATTGGCATTTTTAGTGAATTTGACTTACTGTTACTTGCAATTTTTACCGTGAATTACTTACAAGTCTTTTTTCCGTTATAATTACTAACCATTTTTGCTGTCCCAAAAAATGTTCTGGTTGAATCAACATTTTTAACAAAATTCGACCTCCTCCCCAATCCCAACTAATGCTGCTCAGTATACATAATAAAAAACGTTTTCGTAAAAGTTTTAAACACAAATTTTCATTCAATGAAGAATCTGTACCTAGCCTTTTGGGATATGATAAGTAAATAATATTATAAACCAGTCATCAACGTAAGGTCTCCAGCATAAAGATTGGGTATGACTGGTTGGGCATTTTGCCATTCATCTGTTTCTCAAAAACTAGAGGAACTTGGGTACATATCTAATTATCTGAGAACAGTAATCTAATATAGGATTCTTAAATCCTGTTTCTGCTTCTAATATGTTTCTAACCAGCCCTTTGTGTCTGTCTGTCGCATTAATTTCTTCTTTCAGCTTACTCAATAGACTAGGATGATCCCTGACAGAACGTCTACATTTACTCATAACAGACGTCACAGAGAATATCGTAAACATAGAACAGAGATGTCAGGTAGGAATTGCAGCGGACGCTAATAAAGAAAATGGAATAACATTATACCAAATGATGTGTAATAGAAAGTGTTGAGGACAAGCAGAATTTGAGCATGTTGGACTTTAAAAAGAATTCAAAAATTTCAGGATATTAGAAAAGCAAAGACACTTGTTTAAACAGATATACTCGTAATTCCAACCAGGTCGACCTGATCTTTTGCATACGTAAACAACCTCTAACCGCTGCACCGTTTACTGTTATTCAGTTATCTCTTTTCAGTTTGTCTATACTACTCATGAAGCATTTCCTAACTTAACAAAGGCATGTTCAAAACGCACCAAATGACTGCAGTCCCAAGTGGAAATAAGAAAGAAGATACGTCCAGTCAGAACATTGCAGACTATGTCAATTTTGATCGTCTCAAGTATAACCTGTTTCATATTGGCTTCCATAACGCTCTCTATTCTCTTACTCATTCTCCTTACCTCCTCATTTCTAACCTTTTATATCCACGGTATTTCTAGCATCTTCCTCTAACACATATCTCAAACGTTTCTAACTTTTTCTTTTCCGCGGCACATACAGTCCAGGATTCACACACATACGAAAAAAAAAAGGGATTACATACCAGATTGTTTGATACCAATATCGACTTGATACTTTCACGCGTTCCTGAGAAAAAAGGTCTCGACAAACTGTCAACAAAGTGATCCTGTAGGGATATGGAACCTTAATAATGACTTATTTTTGTGTAATCTGACTCCCTAAATACCACAAAACTGCAACTTCCTCTAGTTTTTCATCTCCTATTTTGATATTAGTTATAATCCTACTTTTTCATCTCTTACATACCTACTAATATTTTTCTTTTATTTATTTTTTTTAGTTTTCGTACTATACTCATCTTTCAATACCNTAATTATTAAAATATGCGGCGTAAAAATTCCGTTGGTTTAGAACTTTGATTTTTTCACAGCTCCAAGGGATTACAGACCTAATTATTTGATACTAATTTCAACTTGACACTTCCACACGTTCCTGAGAAAAAGGGTCTCGACAGACGGTCAACAAAGTGATCCTATAAGGATATATGGAACCATAAAAATGACTTCTTTTTGTGTAATCTGACTCCCTAAATATCAAAAATCAACAACTTTCTATAGTTTTTCGTCTCCTATTTTTTTCCCTACTCATCTTTCAATGCCGCTTCCATTTTATTTAAAACTAAGTCTAACTCATCTTTGCTAAATGCTAATACAGCTATCATCATCATAAGGTCGTGAGCCCAAAGACTTGTTGAACATGCACATCCACTCTTTCCCATCCTGAGCAAATCTTCGCATTTCCCTAAAACTAGAACAGGCCACATCCTCAACTATTTGCGAACAGTAATCTAATCTGTGTCTACCTCTACTCCTCCTAACTCCCGTTTCTGCCTCAATATGCCTAATATGTACCTGACTAGACCTTCATGCCTGAGAAGGTGTCCTACCAACCTATCTCTTTTATTTTTTATTATAAAGCTCCCCGCTCCAAACGTACACCTATAACAATCTTTTTCGAATTTCTAAATTAATCATGTGCGACTCGACCCTGCACTATTCTCTGCTTTACATCCCCACTACTCCTTTAGCCCTGACTTATCTTACTTCCTACATACCTAAAATCAGTCACTTCTTGTAATTTTTCCCTTGCATACGAGTGTTTTTGTTTTACTTTTATTTATTTTCATACATACTGTTTTGTCAATATCGCTTCCATTTTATTTAAAGTCATCTCTAAATCCTCCTTGCTAGATGCTAATACTGCTATATCATCTGCAAATCTAAGCATACTAATCTTTTGTCCCTGTATATCTATCCCCACAATTGCAGTGTCTTTAATGATATTGATCAATCTTCGATGTATAGATTAAAAAGTGATAGTGTTCATCCTTGCAGCCCCATCTCTATAACTGTCTGTTGCTCTTTATACAAACTAAGTATCACTCTTCTATGTCTGTAACTCATCCCTACATTTTTACTGCTATATCACATAAGTTAAAATTAAAAACAACTCTTCTTCATACAACAATAAAGAGTTAATTAACTTCCAATAATTAATCCCTTGCAATTTTTTATTTGTCAGAAGCTCTCGATTCTATGAACAGTTTTTACATTATCACCTATTTGTAGTTGATTGCATTTTATGTTAGAAGATAAAATAAAGATGTACTTATTTTACGAAGAAACTATACTAACTAGTTGATTATATTTTATGTTAGAAGATAAAATAAAGATGTACTTATTTTACGAAGAAACTATACTAACTAGTTGATTATAGTTTATGTGAGAATATAAAATGAAGATGTACCTATTTTACGAAGAAAGTATACTTAATAGAATTAACGATTCTACTTTCATTGCGTAGCTCTCAGAAGTAGATTTCATGTATTTTCTCGCATTTCCTTTTCTAAAAATTCTAGTGTGAGATCCTTGTGACTTTTGATACGCGGAAATGGTTCTGACAAAAGTAATCAAAACCGAATGTGATATACTGAAGTTCATATACAACATGTCACAATTTCTTATATTTATTATTGACTGAAGTTTTTAATGTCATTATTATTATACAAAAGATAACCTACACCATCATTGTAAATCATTAATAACTATTACACACTTTATTCAGACAAAACATTGTATTTTGAACATAACAAAATATCAACATAATTATAAAATTGTATCACGGATTCACCGAATAAATATTGAAATCATTTTAATCCTTCCCTTTACATCAGATCATTGAAACGAGTCAACTAAATGAAATCCTTAGATTTCCTTTCTTGTTTTAAGTTATTCCCGTTGAAACTTTTTTTTAATTTTCAAAAATAGCCTCGAACGGAAGTGTTCGGTAATTACAGAAGAATCTTTTTTGGACGGAACGGAATTCCTGTTGTCTGAAATCGCTAAATGAAGGACGAGTCGGAATGCGTGTGCGGGGATCATGGAAGCCCCTCAGCACCTTTATGCGAAAGCAGTACCTTTTTTATATCCTTACTTCCACTTTTTCGCTACACCGTATCCTCTGATATCATCATCCCAATAATTTTATTTATTCCTCACTTTTATTTATCCCACCTAAACACTGTCCTACGAACTGTCCCGTACTTATTCAAAGTAAACCACCTTGAGAGACAGAAATAACCCAAATCATTGACAAAAACGATTAAAAATCCATTCGAAAATTTCTAAAAATATAATCATCGAACAGCTAGGACCTCAAGAAACTTTTTTTTGGTTTTGAAAACGTTTGTTTAAGTATAGTATTTTGTGCAAATGTTCTAAAACACTAAATTTTCCTGGTTCAACAGGTGCCCCCCCCCAGCGTATTTATGTTCATGGGCCACTAATTGTTATTAGGTAGATCCGGGCTCTCATTGTATCACCAACTAAGACTTAGAAACAAGTCTAAAAAAGCCGATCAATAATTGAGAAAAAAATAAGTTCTTATTTTATAAATAAACAAACGCGCTTTACGGCCTTTACATATTTTAAAAGGAGATGAATTGATAATGAGAATATTCCGAAATAAATAAACTTGTATAAGATGCCATCTGGTTGAAAAAAAGGCATTTACTGTTAAATAGGTTACAAAACACGTGGCATGAATTACAAATAACCAGAGATGTGATTGATTTGAAATACTTGCATTTAAAATGTACCTATATACAAAATTGTAAAATATTACGGTGTGCTAATAAATGCGTATAATCCAAAATTCTTAGAAAACGATTCGAAAAACATCACTTATTAGATGAACCCAAAGATAAAGAATGTATGGATTCCATTTTTCCTCTTATTACAATATGTAAAAGACCAGAAACACAATGGGTTGTAAATATTTTGATATAAAATGATTGATGTAGATTTTACATCAATAAAAATATTTGCAACTCTATTGTGGCTCTGATCTTTCACGCTAAACAAACTATTTCGCTATTAGTGTCTTTTTTCCTATTAAAACGGGTGACAAAGACAAATAAGGAAGCATATAGAAGAACAAGATAGAAAAACTATATCTCAATCACTTCAAAAATAAAAATATTAATCATACTCAATCTTCGCATTTGGTGATATAGTGCTAACACCACTATTAGTGTAGAAAAACTGCAACATTTAAAAAATGAGCAAATGTCTGCAAGGTTTTCTTAAAAAATATTTTATACTTATGTGAATGTACAGAATTAAATAGGTACTACAAAAAAATTATTTATTTGAAAATACGTATTTTGCATTTAGAATTTAAAATACAAAAGGAAAATCTATTTTGTATTTTACATTTGAAATAACAAATC